ACAACAAATGCAAAAGCCCTACTTGGTATCTCTTTTTCCTCCCTGGCATGTGCACACACACACACACACACACACATTTGTAAACATCTCTCATTCCTACATTTCCAAGCTCCGAAAGATGATTTTTCTTTAGGAACTCAAGTGGAGTTCAACAGGACCAGGCTGCCAAGGGATCAATGTCCCAGTCTCAGCTCCTCTGAGCTCAAATCTCACATCTGCTTCCCAAGGTCATTGTGAAGATGCGCTATAGTCTCTGAATTTATCTTGTCCATTGTGGAGCATGAGCATGAGTGCTTTAGTATTCAATAATATAAAAATGCCTACTTAAAATGTTCACCTAGGGAGGAGCTACTAGTAGATAGTGAGTATTCTTTTATTTGTTTCAAAATTAGAAAAATTGCTTCCATCGTAGCAAAAGGTAATCAATCATTCCACCTACATTTTGGTTCCTATAGGTTTTCAGTATAGTGTAAGAATCAAGAGTACAGGCCTGCCCTGGCTGGAGTGGCTCAGTTGGTTGAGTATCGTCCACTGCACCAAAAAGTTGCCAGTTTGATTCCTGGTCAGGGCACATTCCCAGGTTGCAAGCTCGATCCCTGGTGGGGGTGCATGCAGGAGGTAGCCAATTGGTGTTTCTCTTACACTGATGTTTCTCTGTTTCTCTCTCTTTCTCTTTCTTTCTCTCTCTCTCTCTCTCTTTCTCTCTCGCTCTCTCTCTCTCTCCTTCTCTCACTTTCTTTTCCTCTCTCTCTAAAATCAATAAAAACATACACTTTTTTTAAAAAAAGAGTACAGGCCTGGTTATAAATGCTGACTCTGACACATACCTACTGTGTGACCTTGAGCGGATCACTACCCTCTCTGAGGACAAACAGGACCTGCCTCCTAGGGTGTCTAAGAGGATTAAGTGGGATAATGCATTCAAAGGCTCCACATAGTCCCCGGCACTCCCGAAGTTCTCACTGACTGGTGGCCACGCTCCTGCCTGCAAAGGGAACGCTCATTCTTCAGCTGCTGAGAAAACTCTTCCACTCTGATGTTTCAGCTAAAAATAGCATTTCATGCTCGTCATGTGACCAAGAGGCTCCTCCGGCTCTTCTCTTGCCATCATTCAGTCTGGATGGCTAGTTGGATGACTACAAAGTGAGGAAGACAGAGCCTGCACGGAATGCCCAGCCCTCTCCCAGTGCCTGAGAAGGGATGCTAGTGACGCACAGGCGCTGTGCTTCCTTGGGTTGGATGGGGCAGTCGCTGTGGATGTGGGCGTGGACGCACAGGCAAAGCCAGGCAGCCTGGCACTGTTTGCTTACAGGCCCCAGAGCAGCAGATGTGAGAGCCTGGAGCAGCAGACATATTTGCACAGCCAGTCTCCACAACAACAGGAAAGTTAACAGGCAAGACATTCCTTAAGCTGGGAGGAAAATCTTCTGCCCCCACCCTGCGCTTCCAGGTGAGGAAAACGTTTAACACTGAGCAGTGAGCAGTCCTCAAAGGCCGAAGCTTTAGTAGAAAAGCCAACAAGAAGATACGGGGCCAAAACACACAAATAGTCTGAACAATCACCCAGCTATAATTTTTCCCTGCAGGTAATGTGACTAACGCCTACGCATTGTTTAGTTGGAGGAACCAAGGCCGAAGGTCACAGTTGCTGGCTGAGGATGGTAAGAGGACAGGCATGCCAGGGCATCATTATCACACAGTGACAGGGTGGGCCTTTCATGGAAGACAGGAAACAACCATGCAGGGAAATCTGCGGACAGAGAGCGAATCTCCTAACTGAAAAGACCAAAGACCTCTACCAATGATCCTGCCTCAGGGCCCAGAATTCCCATATTGCCCACTCCCTCAGATAAGTCACCAGTGACCTCAGTCCCAAGGTCATCCATCATTCCTGGGAAGTTAACACAGTGAACTATCAGCAGCCCTTAAGCCATCACTCGGATCTGTTTCTGGAAAGTTCCTTTCAGCCCACAGGACCTTGAAGGACTGAGACACAGGACAGACAAGTTTTGTTGGAGAAAAGAATTGGCAGATGGTGCACATGTGGCCCAGAGGGCAGGCCCAGTGGGAGCAGCAATAAGGACGCTGGGTGCTGGGAGAAGTCAGGGGGAGGAAGCCCTCCCAGCAGGAGGGGAGGGAAAGGTTGAGAGCATAATGAAGAGCAGCTTCAGGTTTGGCCTGGAATCTGCCTTTTTCCTTTAGGCCTAAAACTTCCCCTGTCCCAACAATGCCATAGGAACAACTGCTCATTTTGTCTTCCTGCTCAGTAGACACCATGGCACCAAGTGCAACCTATCTCAGCAAGATGCATGGAGCCCCCAATTTTAGAAGGACCCTTATAACAGGAACCACTGTAGTTTTCTTTGTTCAAAATTGCAAAGAAAAATGTCCAGGACCAGATAGATCGCACATCAATTCTATCTCCAGAAATACACACCAAACGCTCAAAGTAGGTGCCAACGTGGGCCTTGGTGGGGATTTGTCCTCTTCCATCACTGCTGTCATCCAGGGGCCCCACTGTGTTTCAACAGGTGTAAAATGAACATATAACAGTCTTCCAGTATTGTTTTCCCTGGCTCCTAACTGGTTTCTACTTCCAGTCTCCACACAGAAAGCCTGGGTGATCCTTCTAAAATATAAGTCAGATCATATTCAAAACCCTCTAATGGATTCCTGCTTGCCTAAGAATGAAATCCAAAGCTTATGTTGTGGCTTACAGAGCCGTGTGCTATGGCTCTGATGATCTCATCTCCTTCCCCCGTCCCAGCTTCTCCTGCTCTCTAAGCTCCACCTAACTGGCATCTTGAGTCCTTCTCCAAAATCCCAAGTGATTAGGGCGACCATCTAATTTAGTGACCAAACCAAGCCACTGTTGACAGCAAAAGGGGCATTATCAATCATTGTGCTGCGACCAGAAACCAGGACTGTCCCAAGCATATCTGGGCACATGGTCACTCTACCTGAACTGTTGCTCTCGTTGCAGCCCTCTGATCATACCAAATGCGCCTGAGGCTGAGAAATACATTTGTAAATGCATTCCCATTCTACTAGGAATGAAAATACTACAAATTGGGATGCTTCTTACAATTGGCACAGGTATTTAATATCAGGCTTCCTTCTCCCCCAAACCTGTTATTAATTTAATAGTACATCTTATGGTCAATGACATCTTACAATCAAGGATACAGAGTAATTTGGTTTTTTATGTGGTATGACATAAAGGAGAATTCAATGATCAGAGAGTAGAAATGCCCTCCTGCCAAGCATTTATTTCCATCAGAAAATAACAAGTAAGTAACCTGGTGTTAAGCACTGGTTTCTTGTAAGCTAGTTTGGTTTGAATTGTTTGCCGAAGACTGGGTTCTGAGTCAATATAAGGCCCGAGTCCAGATCAAGGAATAGAGTGAATTTACTGAGGTCACTCTGTCCCATGGAAACCTAGTTGGGAACCCCCCAGCTTTACCCAGGGGACTACCCTCGGTGCCACCATGGCGTACCATCACACCCCTCTCCCCCATTGGAAATTGATAGAGGCAATAAGACAAGGAAACTGGTTTAGATCTGTTGGATTTAAAAGGCCAATAAGACATTAAAATGGAAGTGGGGCTGGAAGTATCATTTGAATGAGATGTATATGGGTCACACATAATTGGGAGAAAGTATTTTCCCTGTGTCCAATATAGCTACAGTTCAGATAAACCACCAGAGGTAGGAAATGACTATATGCAACCTTCCCCCGTCCCAGCTTCTCCTGCTCTCTAAGCTCCACCTAACTGGCATCTTGAGTCCTTCTCCAAAATCCCAAGTGATTAGGGCGACCATCTAATTTAGTGACCAAACCAAGCCACTGTTGACAGCAAAAGGGGCATTATTAATCGTTGTGCTGCAACCATAAACCAGGACTGTCCTAAGCATATCTGGGCACATGGTGACCCTACCTGAACTTATTGCTGTCATTGCAGCTCTGATCATACCAAATGCGCCTGAGGCTGAGACATACATTTGTAAATGCATTCCCGTTCTACTAGGAATGAAAATACTACAAATTGGGGTGCTTCTTACAATTGACACAGGTATTGAATATCAGGCTTCCTTCTCCCCCAAACCTGTTATTAATTTAATAGTACATCTTATGGTCAATGACATCTTACAATCAAGGATACAGAGTAATTTGGTTTTTTATGTGGTATGACATAAAGGAGAATTCAATGATCAGAGAGTAGAAATGCCCTCCTGCCAAGCATTTATTTCCATCAGAAAATAACAAGTAAGTAACCTGGTGTTAAGCACTGGTTTCTTGTAAGCTAGTTTGGTTTGAATTGTTTGCCGAAGACTGGGTTCTGAGTCAATATAAGGTCCGAGTCCAGATCAAGGAATGGAGTGAATTTACTGAGCACACTCTGTCCCATGGAAACCTAGTTGGGAACCCCCCAGCTTTACCCAGGGGACTACCCTCGGTGCCACCATGGCGTACCATCACACCCCTCTCCCCCATTGGAAATTGATAGAGGCAATAAGACAAGGAAACTGGTTTAGATCTGTTGGATTTAAAAGGCCAATAAGACATTAAAATGGAAGTGGGGCTGGAAGTATCATTTGAATGAGATGTATATGGGTCACACATAATTGGGAGAAAGTATTTTCCCTGTGTCCAATATAGCTACAGTTCAGATAAACCACCAGAGGTAGGAAATGACTATATGCAACTAACAAAGAAGTTTCTGGAGTGTAAATAGCTTTCAGACTAAGTGCCATACTGGATAGACTAGAGGTGGCTTAGTGTCTGCAGCCTTTTAGGAATATACTAGTAGAAGTTTGAATAAAAGCACCGTGATTGATTAGCCACAGCTGATATTGGCTCAGAAGTGGGGGATGACATGGAATTAAAGTATGATTATATTGGAAGTATTATAAAATGTTACTAAAGATGGGCTCTTTTAATAAAATAAACAACAGTAAAATAATATGCCAAATGAGAAAAAGAGTTGAAATCAACTTACTTGTTTTGTCCAATTGTCTCAAAATCTTTCACAACAATTCCAAGGGAAGATGAAAAGTCGAGTGGTATACCCCTCAAGTCAAACTCCAAAATCTGTCCACAGAAAGGTTACAAAAACAAAAAGGCTGTTAAAAGGATCAGGGAAGACAATGAAATGTGCCAACACTAAACGCTGGGTCATTATCTTCACCAATGGCAATCTTTCAAATTTCTAGTTAGATGGAAGTGATTAAATTATAAATTAAATTCTAAGCCTGGAGGCTGCTGAGGGCTGTAGGAAAGCAAACCAGACAGCCTCTAAGGACCCGGTGGTGACTCCTGGCTTCCCATTTACCAGGCTCTGTGTCCCTGGACACGTCACCAACCCCTACCTCATAGCCAGAGAACTGACAATGCCTACCACAATGTTGCAAGAATAAAATAAAATGTAGACGTGAAAATGTTTTCTTCAGTGGCTATTTTTAAATTACTTTCTCGTCCTAAACATAATATTATCAAAGAGATGAATGATCTAGAAAACATTTTCTAAAATGCATCAGCCCCTCATTCAATGTCCCACTGTGGCCAGTGCTATAGTCAGATGAGACTTTCATCTTAATGTAACAAATCGCTGTCTACTGACAAATGTAAAAAAAAAAAAAATCAACTCAGTACCACTGATGCCTTTGATTGATTGTATAATAAATGAATTAAATAAAGCAGTATCTACTGATGATTTAATTCTCCTTGTAATGGGTCTGGAATGGATGGAAAATTGTCTCATAGCTCATATTAGAACACACCCACTAATCCTAATGGGTTTGGGGTTGGCATTTCATTTGGTTCGGTTTCAGTTATAAAACTGCAATTAAGTTTACTTGAGCCCTGGCCAGTTTGGCTCAGTGGATAGAGCATCAGCCTCCGACTGAAGGGTCCCGGGTTCAATTCTGGTCAAGGGCATGTACCTCAGTCGCAGGCTCCATCCCAGACCCTGGTTGGGATACATGCAGGAGACAATCAATCGATATGTCTCTCACATCAATGTTTTTCTCTCTCTATCTTTCCCTCTCCCTTCCACTGTCTCTAAAAATCAATGGAAAAAATATCCTCGGGCAGGATTACCAACAAAAAAAGTTTGCTTGATAAATACTTTTGCAATATGAGGGGGGAAATGGGAGGGAAACAAAATGGGGTCAGATGGATGATGCCCTGCAGAGGACATACCTGCTCACATGATCATACACCTCTCTGCCATCGCCCATGTGGTCTGACCTTGAATATAAAGAGGCACACTAGCGCCCTAACCGGTTTGGCTCAGTGGATAGAGCGTCAGCCTGCGGACTGAAGGGTCCCAGGTTGGATTCCGGCCAAAGGCATGTACCTTGGTTGCGGGCACATCCCCAATAGGGGGCGTGCAGGAGGCAGCTGATCAATGTTTCTCTCTCATCAATGTTTCTGACTCTGTCCCTCTCCCTTCCTCTCTGTAAAAAATCAATAAAATATATATATATTTTTAAAAAAGGCACACTAGCATCACTCAGACCTGAAGCACTAAGTGCACGTGTACATGTACTTTTATTTATTTTATTCTTGGAACTCTGTGGGAGGGCTTTCCAGAAAGGCATTAAGAAGCTTCTTGCCTTCACCTCATTCAATGAGAAGGTTCGGTCTTTCTCATACAGAGATATTGAAACTAGCTGGGAGAGGAAGTCTTCACAGCCTCCGACTTAGTGAAAATATCAGAGACATTTATCACTGCACTTACCCAGGGAGGTGTGACTGGCTATTGGAAAAAACAATGGGGCTGACAATCAACTTTTCAAAAATTAGCCAGCATAGGAAAATCCTACTCAGTGGAAAGAATTACAATTTTCATATATCTATAAATGTATTAAATACAGGGGAGGGAGGAAATAAATTATATTATATCCCTTCAATACAATCTTACAGTCATTAAAAATGCTTTTGAATGAAATGATATAGGTATGTGCTTAGGATATAATAGTAAAAAAGTTGGATAAGAAACTGTACTTGCTTTATGAAGCTAATTTGCTAATTTTAAGACATCACGTTTTATCAAATATATTTAGTCAATAAACATTTATTGATACATCCCATATGTTAACAGTAGTTGCTTCTGGATAGTAGGACCAAAAGTACTATTTTTTTTGTTAATCCTCACCTGAGGATTAAAAAAATCCATTTCCTCCATTGATTTTTAGAGAGAGTGGGAGGGAAGGAGGGAGAGAGAGAGACATCTATGTGAGAGAGACACATTGATTGGTTGCCTCCCACATGCTCCCCAACTGGAGCTGGGAATCGAACCTGCAACCCAGACACGTGCCCTTGACCAGGAACCAATCCTGCGACCCTTCAGCTCACAGGCTGAGGCTCTACCACTGAGTCACACCAGCCAGGGCCCAAGGTAATTTTTTATACTCATCTGAAGTTTTCAAAATTTTTACGTTAAATACTGGTATATATTATTTTGTCAAAATAAGAACAGTAAATATCTTGACTCAGCCAGACACACAACGTATCATGTGATATACTCTTGATTAGTCACAGGCAGATATGTTTTTCATTATGGAGCGTTCCCTCTGGGACTCTGGAGATGGTCTAATACAGGGATGGGCAAACTTTTTGACTCGAGGGCCACAATGGGTTCTTAAACTGGACCGGAGGGCCAGAACAAAAGCATGGATGGAGTGTTTGTGTGAACTAATGTAAATTCAAAGTAAACATCATTACATAAAAGGGTTCGGTCTTTTTTTTTTTTTTAGTTTTATTCATTTCAAACGGGCCGGATCTGGCCCGCGGGCCGTAGTTTGCCCACGGTTGGTCTAATACCACCCCTTGCTCTACAGATGTGCCCGCATAGGCAACATGACTGGACCAAGGCTGCATAGCAAGCTCAAGGCTGCTCCAGGCTAGAACCCAGCCCTCATCACCGCACCGCTCACCACACCTCCACCGCACAGGACATGCCACTGTGTGCTGTCTCCTTGAACTGCTCTGCTGCCTCCTTGGCCACAACGGAGGTTTGGTCTGAAAGGGGTGAGGTGAAATGCAGAGATTCTCCTTCCAAAGGGAAGTGTCTACCTCTGACCAAAGATGGGGTCACCAGATGTAGCTTATCCATTGAAACAAAGTTAAAAAAAAAAAATTAAGTCACCTCATTCCAGACAGGGTTGAGTTCATTATCAATTTTCTTTGTCTTCTTTTTCTCATCTGCAAATAAAAAATAAGAGATACCAACAATTAGAAGTATTTATAGAGCAGGTACCATTCACTTGTTCATTCAAAGAACATTTCCCTGAAGGCCACAATGTGCCTGGCTATCCCTTTCATCTGTCTGAATCAAAGTTTTCCAAACCCAACAGCAGGTTTCAGTCTAAAACGTTTTCCCCATCCCCAGGTCTAGGGATGGGGGACTCAAAATCATGGAAATATGGAAATACCGCAATCCTCTGCCCCTCCCTCACCAGTTCCTGTAGGCCAAGATTACCCAGGGCCTCTGTCTCTCCAGCTTTTTGCAGAAAGAAACCAACACAGCTAACCTTTGGCATGCAGGTGTCCCCATTTTATAAACGAGGACAGGAGACTCAAAGGAGTGAAGAAGGGTGTCGGAGCGCACACGTGGCAGAGGTGCGCTGGCAGGACCCGGAGTTTCAGCTCTGAAGTCCATGCTGCCTCTGCGTGTGGTCAAGATCCTGACGGTTTAAAGATTAAGCTGGACTCCCTCCCACAGGCCTCAGCACAAGGTAATTCACAGGTAAACACTTTCCAGGACCCACAGAGAGTTGGGGGGCTGCTGCCTTTACTCCTGGTCCACCTTTTCTGAAGACACAAGGTTGTCTTTGTGTCGGAGGCTCGATAGCACACCTGCCTACCTGGTCGAGTCAACGTCAGTTCAGCTGGTGTGTAAGTTTTCTTGGAGCGAAGTCCCTAGAGCAGGGGCTCCTATTAGGCCCCTCTGTGCCCAGATACTTACCAAAATCAGAGCTAATGTTGCTCATCTGTTTTCAGAAAACAAACCAGCTTTTCCTCCTGTGTGTCACTTTTACCATCACACAAAACACAGCACTTCTGACACCGGATGTATGGAGCGGAGCCCCCCACCAAACAATTGTCTGCAATACCAGGTGGGTGTCCTACAATTTAACCCCGTTCTGACGCTATCTACCTGGAGAAAGCTCCAGAGCTCACAGGTTAAGGGCTCAGGCCCACAAGACGGCCGCCCCTCCCACTTCAGACACCAAAAGCAAGTCCAGGTTGTCACCTGTGCTTCCGACAGTTCACTTATAAACCACCCCCTCTTAGCCAGAGCGTCGCATAGAACTCAGCGAAACACTCATGTTACCAGTTTATTAAAGGCTATCATAAAGGATGCTGATACGCAGCCAGATGAGATACATACAGCAAGGTCTGAGAGGGTCCCAAGCTCTGTCCCCAGGGAGTTAGGGTGCATCACCCTCCCAGTACATGAATGTGCTCCCCTGCCTAGAAGAGTGGGGGGTGGGGCTGAAAATTCCAAGCTTCTCATTCCGGCCTGGTGTTTCTGGGACCAGCCTTCACCCAGGAGTCCCCCCAGAGTGGCCACGTGAGAACAAAT